TGTTGTTCCCTCTGATACCCCTAGTTCCTCCGCTACTACATTGCCTCCCAGATATGCTTCTGTTGTTTCCCGGCCCCCGCTCACTCAGGCTGCATTAATCCTGATGGGGCAGCTAGCACATTCTGCCAACCATCTACTGCCAGACTTGAGGCCTTCATTCTGGGCATGATTCATACAGCCCATGTTGATGTTGTGACACCATTGAGTGCTACCATTGATGCCCTTGCCGCTAGGATAGCGGTATGTGAGCGTAGAGCCACCGAAGAGGTGACGGCTCTAAAAGCCGCTATTGTTGTGCTGAGGATAGATATGGACCAGCTGAAGTCCACCGACATATCCATGATTTCCAGGACGATGGAGATCCCATATGTGCTAGTTGAGCCAGCTATGCTTCCGACTACCACTGGAGATGATGTTAGAGTTGAAGAGGCAGCTGATCATGATTCCGAGGCAGAGACGGTTGAGGAGATGCTTGGGGTAGCTGAAGAGGTTTCTTACGAAGGCCTTACAGAGACTGACAAGGCTATGATCGATGCAGCTGCGCAGACTTCTTTGAAAGATACGCCTTTGGCTGACCCTTGTGGAGCTGGTATTGCTTCTGAGTTGACTCCAGGCACTGATGCCCCGACAGATGGAGCAACTGTATAGACAGGATCACTCATTACCTCCCTCTTTGTCATATTTTTTATTGATTTTTTAGATATTTTCTTGCATTTGAGGACAAATAGCTTTTGTTTTGTGGTGGGGTGAGGCCCACCTTGTGTGACTATTGTTCTGTTCATATATTGGGTTTTTGTGCCACCTCTTGATTGTGTTTGAATGTGGTTGTTCTCTTGCAAATTTAAGTATCAGTCTTGATCAATACTGGTGACTGGAATAGTGCACATAATCGAACAAAAATGAATGTGCGGCTACGATGAGGCCAAATGAAGTTGCATAGGCAATATGTGAACTTTTTGCATCTCGTTGTGACTAGCCAATTATCAAATTGAGTCTCTTGTGATGAACATTGCACACTAGCGAGAGTGTGGAGTCTTGTTTGACATTTGTGTCAATGCCTTGTGTGTGATGAGCTTACCCTGAACCATATGTGATGACACCTAGAATTTGCCCCGTTGGTCCGGTTGACTAAGTGATGCAATCTCTTGATATGATCTTAGGCAACTTTAAAGAGTAAAACAATTTGACATTATACCTCTTTTGTGGCCTATCTTGTGAGTGTGTGAAATTCGCTTGAACACCTTTTGAGCCTTAATTCTTTCCTTGGAAGAAACTTGATGAAATTGTGACCTTTCTTTATCCATTACCCATAATCCTCATGATTTGTGGTTTGCTTGAATAGTCAACTTAGGTCAAAAGACTAAGTTGGGGGTATGGTGAAAAGAGAAGGTAAATCAAGAAATGCAAAGAAGTCCCCTTTGACCTATGACTTTGAAAAAAATGGAACCCCTCCATACAAAAAAGGAGAGAAAAAGAAAAGAAGAATGAAAAAGTTATGGAATAAAGTTGTAAAAATGCAAAAAGAAATGGGGTGTCCAACAGTCCATGGAAAGTGAATAATGGGGTGACTTTTGAGCATGAATGAAAATGATGAAGAAAAGGGAAGAAAAGTGTTGTCACACCACATTTCACGAGGATAGCAGCCACTGAGCCTAAATGACCATATATTTACACCCCGCCCCATTACAAGCCTTGAAAAGACCTTTGTGATCTTGAGTGAGCTGAAACAATTGTTGATTGGAAAATAAGGGCAAACCTATAGGTGAAGTTCATGTGTTCATCTTTGTGAGTGTGAGAGTTGTATTTGATTCCAAAACTATAAATTGTTGAACCATTGTGTGTGAATATGGAATCATTCTTTGTGTGAGGGCATTTGAGTACCTTTGTTGAGCTTGAACTTGCATTTGAAGCAAGTATTGTGAACTTGAGAATCTTTGATAATGGTAAGTCACAACTTAAATCTATGAGTTCACAACTTAAATCTATGAGTGCACAATTGATCCTTGCATGAGTAAGTTGAGTCTTTTTGTGTGCATTCATGATTGAGTCTTGTGTAGCATTGTTTGAGACATCCTTTTTGAACTGCTGAACTTGAGTTTTACTTAAGGACAAGCAAAAGTTTAAGTTGGGGGTGTTGATGAGTCCACGATTTGGACTCATTTAGGGTTTATTTGGATAGATTTTGTGTCCTCAAATGTTTGTTCTGTGCCAATAACTAATATAAAACCCTTGATTTCTAGGTGTTTGGATCGAAGAACAAAGCATGGACACTAACTTGCAAAAATGAACGAAGCAAGCTGAAAGAACGAAGAAATGAAGGCATGGTGATCGTCGAGTCCCTTTGGCGAGTCACCGAATGACCATTACCTCGCCTAAAGTTCCAGAGTGCCAAGCTCTGAAGGAGAAAGTCAATTTGGTGATAGAAGGAGCAGTCGGCGTGTCGCCGAGTGGTTCCACGATGCAGTGTTGGATCACCCAAAGTTACAGAATGTGAAGATGCTGAAGGCTAAAGCAGAAAGGCGATGAACTTGGCCAAAGGAGGATCGCAGAGTTGATCGGCAATTTTGACTTACTGCGCCGAATGGTCCTTCGCAACATATTTTTGGCGACTTCAAACATTAATCTTAGGACCTTTTATCATAATCTTAGAATCAATTTTTAGAATTTGAGTTTTGAACTCTGAGTATTGAGACAAAAACTTTTCCTTAGCTTTGAAGAATTGAAGTTTTCCAATTTTTAGAAATTGGAAGTAGATCTTTGAGATTATTCAACTTGGACCTTTGTAAAGACGAAATTAATCTTACCCAGTTGATGGAAACACAATTTGGTAACTATTTCTATCTTTTTATGATGTCTAGCTAAAACCTCAATTCTTGGGGTGTGATTATGTGATTATGGGTTGATTTAGCTTGTGGGTATTGCTAATTATTAGTTTAAATGATGTTTAGAAGTGATTTCATTCAGTAATTGTGGTTAATTTAAAGGGTTGTAGTTGCAAATGCAATTCTACCTTAGTGTTTTTGGCTTGCTCGAGAGAGAGGTTTCAAAACCAAGATTACTGAATTGATGGTCTGTTGGTATTGGCGTGTCATGGGTTCAGCTCGAGAGAGTGAATCCTAAACCCTTTTCCACACATTCAACTCGAGAGAGTGAATGGACTAAAGCGTAGGTTGTTCTTATTTGTTACTTGTTGGTGTTTGAGAGAAACCAACTTGATTCAGGGTAAATTGTTCGAGATAAAGTTTATCCCCACTAAAGTCTAGCTTATTCACTGATTTACAGCTATTTACTAACAACTGCAATCACCCATTTGTCTACATTAGCCTATAATCCAATCACATCCCAAGAACCCGTCTCATTACTTGTTAATTCATGTTATTTGTTGTTGTTGTAGCTGATAATTGCAATCAAATCCCCCTCTCCCTTTTATTTCACACTTGTGTCATCCCCTAATTTGAATTATGCTTTAATTCGTAAACACATACTCCTATGATTGACTTCAACATATTCGTATTTTGCTATTGAATCTTAAACATGTACCACTCCCTATGGAATTCGACCCCAACTCATTTAGTTGGGGTATTATACTGCCTAGCGATCATTGACACTTAGAATTGGATGAAGTGTCCTTGATATGTGAAATCACCAACAAAAATCAACCGCCCCAAAAGAGGGAAAAAGGGATTGTGATAAATGAGCAGGTTGCACCCTCCCGGGCCACAGTATCAAAGCTTCTTCCAAAAGGGGGGAATGGCAAGGGTAAGGCGCCCGTAGAGTCAACACATGCGGAGGCTAGCTCCAATAGTGTGGGTATTTACACCACGTACCTCACTCCCTCTGACAGTGAGGTCCATTGAGGGAACAGTTCCCCAGCCTCCGTATCTAAGCCGGAGGACGACCAGCTCCTACAAACTAGGAGAGCGAAGCTACGCTCAAAGGCAATGAATGATCCATCTAGGATCCCGGTGCCTCCTACACCTACTCCTCCTCCATCTCCAGCTCAGGCAGTAGTGCAGGCCACTCTACCAGTTCAGGCTCCTCCACCCCGGTCACTCAATAGACTAAAGGCCGAGGGTTTAAGGACCATTCTAGAAGAGAAGAGGTTGTCTACTGACGGTGTGGTAGATCGGTACCCAGGAGTGTGGAGCAATTTAAAACTCCACAAGTTTGAGATATTCACGAAGCCCCGAGGCCTGTACATTCCTACTTGGGTCTGGGAATTCTACTCGACATATGTGGAATTGGTACCAAAGAGGAAGAAAAGGCTAGTGCTTCCAAGCGGTTGACTTTGTAGTAGTTTGGGGGAAGAAGGTGAAGTGCAGCAACTTAGATATAAATGAGGTACTCAGGTGTTCAATGGACTTCATGCACTATTACATTTACAAAGTTCAGAAGAAAACCCTCGATGATTTGAAGGGTTGGCTAGCACTTTTAATTTCTGATACCACCCCGAGGTGGATTGAGGCTGGTATGTCAATTGAGAAGAGAGACCTAAGTGTGGCTGCCATATACTGGTTCGGGTTTATTAGCAGCACTATTATGCCGTCGCATAATGAGTCGATCCCCTGGCATCCAAAGGCTGAATGTTTGGGCTGCATTATGGATATTGAGCATGAGATGGCCATGAGGGCCAAGCAGAGGCAGACTTCTCTTCCCTTTTCCATATTGATCACTAAGTTGTGTAGGTGGGCCCGTGTTCCGATAGTTGCCAAAATGGATGTGGAAGTGACTCCCACTTCCTCTACTTACATCCGGCGAATTGAGGCAGAGTATCTGAGGGATAAGGTTGATTGGAGGAGAGTTGCATTGTGGATACGTCTCCGGTAGTTGATGTTGATTTGTTACCGATTTAGGCAATACTGCCCCCTCAGGCCAGTGAGCCTACAGGTACCTCTGGTCCCTCTACTTTTTCCTCTCCTGGTTCATCTATTGTACACCATCCTTCTACTGTTGATGTTGCTGCCTTCTGACCCCTTATCACCCAGGCCATGTTATACAAGATGGGTCATTTGGCTCAATCTATTGATGTGCGTGCCTCCCGAGTAGAGGCTGATGTGCCTAGGTTGATTGAGCGGGCTATTATTGATGTCTTAGCCCTGATCAAGGCTGAGATGAGAGAGCAAAGGGGGATGATAAATACACATAGGGTTGCACTAAATTCCCTTACACTGAGGGTTGAGGCTTGTGAGCAGGGCAAGGGTGATTCTGATGTTGTGACAGCCTTGAATGCCGATGTTATTGGGCTGAGGAAGGAAGTGGACGAGCAGAAGTCCATTGGTCTATCAATGTTATTCGCCACATTTGAGATCCCTGATGTTCCGAGCACTGATGTTCCAGTCAGTTCTGAGGTTCCTTCGACTACTACTATCGGAGATGTTGTTATAGATGTGGTTAAGGCTGAGTCTGAGGCTGAGACCGATGAGGAAGAGCTGGGTGTTCATGATGCAGCCGTGTATAGAGATTTGGAGGACCTTTAGGGGACCATAATTCAGACAGCGGTTAAGGCATCGCTCAGAGATACTTCGATGGTGGGCTCCAGTGGAGCCAAGGATGTTGTTGCATCGGGCACTAATGCCCAAGATGATGGAGTCACCGATATGCATAGTTCACCCCAGGCATATCCTGGTAGGAGGATTTTTGACTCCCTTTCTATTTTTATTTCTCTATTTCTTTGCATTTGAGGACAACTCATAAATTGTAGTTGCAAATGCAATTATAGCTTAGTGTTTTGGGCTTGCTTGAGAAAGAGGTTCTAAAGCTAAGGTTATCGATTGATGATTGTAGCAATTGGGTTGTTGTGGGTTCAGCTCGAGAGAGTGAATCTTAATTCGAACTTACCTATCTATCTCGAGAGAATAGATGAATTAAGGTTTTGAGCTATTTATATTGTTAAACTTGTCGAGGTTCAAGAGAACTCGCTTGAATCGTAATAGTTGTTTGAGAGAAAGTTATTGCATCTATAGTCTAGCATACCCACTGAGGTTCGGCAATTGTTAGTAAATTACAATTACCCATATATCGAAATTTGCCCATAATCGCTCACATCCCCGAGAATTCCTCTCTACTTATCTACTCCCATGTTTTCGTAATTGTTGTAGTTGATAATTGACACTTTTTAACCCCCTATCTGACATTCGTTGTTAAACAATTAATTTACTTTTCTTGGTTTCGATAATGTCTACCTCTATAACCGATTAGAACACAACCTTTACTTCTTAATTGAATTCTATATTGTACCGCTCCCTATGGGTTCAACCCCAACTCTTTGTTGGGTTTTATACGAGATTACGGTTGCCTACACCTAGTATTGGATGAGGTGTAGTTGAGTGTTTATTAGTGTACATTAAGATTTAGATATCTAGATCTGAATACATATATGTATATTAAGATGTGGTTTCTAGATCTGAACATTAAATGATCAAGACTGTCTGTTTTCAATATCTGAATGTGCATATGAAATTAAACATTATATCAATAAAATAATATAAAATTTCATTTCAACAAAAAAATTACTTTTTAATAAAAAATAATTTTTTAAATATTTAAATCTAATTTAAAAAATTAAATTATATGATATGCAAATAAAAATTACATATCGATATAAAAATTATTGTAACGTGATTTTTTTAAGAATTCAGAATAAACATCTTTCACAAGAAAATATATCACGAATAAAAAATATTTCATAGGCATAATATAATATCAAAAAGTTCAATAAGTATGATAGATATAAGTCGAAAAATAATAAAGAAGTTTTCACATCATCAACGCCTAACATATATTCTAGCTAATCAAAAAATTAAAGAATTCATTTTTTTTTCCGATAACCTTAATCCAGTTCTCTAACTTGTGGACCTCTAGGATCATCCATGCTTTTTCGTAGTTGTCACTTTCACAAAATATACTAACAGAAGTACTGTATAATGGTTCTTCTATCCAAGTCCATCTAATTATTTTTTTTGCATTCTGAAAGCTAGGCACACTATTTCTTTTAATCAATAACTCCAAAGCAATACCCATCTTCTCATTAATTTTTAATTGAGATGAATTTTTTTTCTTTTCTTCCTCAAAGCTTTTCTTTCAACTAAAACCGATGATTGTGATGAAGAATTATTAGGAGCTCCATCATTTTTGTCACCAACAAGATATAGGCATAGCTTGGACTCCAATCATGAACTCTTGCACTAGAACCTTCAAAAAAATAATTGTACACAAATTTGAAAAGGGTAAAGGTGAAGTTTTCAGTGTCTTTGGCCTAAACAAAATTTTCATAAGAGACCTCAAATATGTATATATAGTTGTTATTTTTAATCATGACTACTATTTTTCACTCAAAAACATTGAGTTCTTGATAAATATCTAGACATCCAAAAATATTATTACAACAAGAGTTCTTGATATAATCAATACACCTCAAAAAGTTGTTAATATATATAAGAAATACTTGTAAATATTATAAAAGCTTACCAGTTCAAGAGGAAAAATTGGTGTTTCGTTAAGAAAAGAGAGGAGGAATGTTTGTAGAAAGAGAGAGAGAAAGTCACGTAATGAGAGAGATGCAACGCAATTTGTTTCTACCATATTAAATAAGTATGAATGTTTTTAAGACTTTACTACATATTTGATTCGTTCAGATCCATTTACAGGTTTTTAAAAAAAAGAAACGAATGAACTTAATGGACCGAATCTGAATGATTAAGATTCAGACCTAAAAACCAAACACACTTAATGGACTGAATCTGAATGATTAAGATTCAGACCTTCATTAAATGCAAACAAATGAGGCCTTATTCTATCACATTATACTTGCACAGTCTTTGTTGTTATCGAAGTTTTGCGTTAAGAGACCATGCTCATATCCTGGTATTCATGAGTGTTCTAGAAATTCGTCACAATTTCATAGAAGCGGCCCCACTCCACACTCATATAGGTCCACCTATCAAGTGTATTCTACAGAGTAATACACCACCTATAAATGATATGGTAATGGATTAGAAGTTTGCAACTCAACCTCACTTTATCACAAATGGAAAAACGTTTATAGTGCACAGGATCAAACAATGACTTGTTATTATCCATATGAACTTATTTCATGAGATCTTACCATTATGTTCAATATGCAATTTTGAGAAAAGACTCATTCTAGTTGAAGCTTCACTTATAAATTTTTTTCTCTAAATTTTAGTCAGAGAATTGACCAAATTCACTTCTAACCTCACATAATTTATTAATATAATTTCATCTCACAACATGTTGTTTCACTTTATGTGATAAACACATATTTATTTTGCCACTAGAAATTTTTTTTCTACTACAGTCAATGTTGTTTGGAAACCACAATATGTAGATTCGTTGGATTTATCTCAACCTAAATATTTGCAAAAAAATTACCCCCACCTCATTATCAACCAACTCCAAATTAAACTTAGATTTCATAATTTGATCTAGTTATTTGGCTCATTCTCATGTCATTACATCCCTACCAAGGGTAAAACTCACAACAACAAATAAATTTTGAGATCCAATTTCAGTATACCCCTATAGTGGAACAAATATTAATTCACTATAGCACTTTATCATCAAATATTTCTTTTCAAAACATTTCAGCAAGAGAAGAAATAAAAACATAATAAATTTTGGACCACTATCAATAAGATAATTATAAAAGAAACCTTCACAAAGCATTTCTCCATTATTGTCATTTTTCTTCTCCTCAAATTCTCATTTCAAGATTATATTGAACAACAAGGTCACGTAAGATATTACTCTCACTTTTCAACAAAAATATACTGTCAAAAACTTTATAATTTTTTCCCCTCACTACAATATTTCTCTCGATCACATAACTATTAATTAACGCAAAAATTCTATGCAACATTTCTTATTAATTAGCATAGACAATAAACATATATAGAATGAACATACGTACAACCATAAATATTACATCTTTTCTTTTTTTCCAAAATCAAATATGATAACTTTAAGAATTCACCCCTACACTTTCAAATATTTCACGTTATAAGAAAATTGTCTAGAATATCTGACAAACGTATAAAAAATAGTTTCTCCTAGATTATTGAATGCATGAGAATTAACAAATATTAGTGCATAGAATCTATCACTCATTCACTCACACTAACAATAATGTGTTAGTGTGACATATATATACTTAAAAAATACCACAACAATAATATCATCTGATTTATTCAAATAAAATTTTAACTTAGCAAAATTGTCAATTTTCCTTGCTCTTTTCTTGACAATTTTGTTATTGACTTTAAATTTAATATAGTCATATTTTTCAATATTGTTACCTCCAAATGTAGACAAGAATAAAGACCATGTCACCAAAGGCCCAAGCAATACAAAGAACTCCAAAGTTAGCCACGTATATCACCTCTAACATCTAAATCATTGCGTCCTCTCTTCAAATTCCACCAACAGCTCATCATAATCTTTTGCAAAAAACTTTGTTGGTCTCTTTGTTACAGCCTCAACTTCGTTAGTCATATTTGGCTTTTATTCTATTTTCTTTTCCCGTGATTCATAAGAAATATCCATAAGATTGTTGGAATATTGTAAATCACGGTAATGTCATAGGCATGCCTATTGAATTGTCCTTAAAGGATATTTCACCAGATGTGAGTGTTATCATCTGAGATTCAACAAATTCTATTAGTATAAATTAGGAGATAAAATCTAACAATGATTTTAACTCGATAGGAAACCCAACAAAATAAATTGAGAAAGATTTGATATTTACTCTCTAGCATTTTTCCTCATTGGTTTCTCACCCATTCACGAGTACTTGAAGTATTTATACACAAAAGAAAGAAGGGTAAAATGATAAATATATCTTTGAACTATCGTAAATGATATGTAAATATCTTTTGTTACACTTTTAGGACATTATTGCCTTTACCGTCTAATTTTTGGAGTGTATATACCCTTTGAACTAACGGAAAGACACGTGTCACGATTTTAACAGCCTATCCAAATTTATTTAATTTTTACCCATAATTAAAAAATTGACTCTAATAATTAAAAACCCACCAAATAATTTTAAGACCCACCTGCAAATAAATCTAATTTTCCCTTTCTTCTCAAGTTCCGGCAACCAAAGACTGCACCGCAACTCCATCTTCTCCGGGGAAGTTCCACAAACAAAGCCACTTCTAACTGCTACAAACCCAGCATCCGGTGATCCGGCGAAATCGGCGAGGTTGCAACCCTTCGGCCACCATGCACCCATCTCTCCCTCACCGCTGTTCCAACAGCTCCAGCGAGCAGCCGAGCATACCTCTAGCTCTCTTTACAAAGCTTCAATAATGGCGACCAAGAGGACACTCCGTAAACAAGAAAAAATCAATCTCATTTCCATCAACTGAGAAACCCCCAAAGTTCTACTCATACATTCAAAGAGTTTTTGTCTGTGTCATTTATTTTGTCTAAAAAAGATTGGTGGATCTTACTTTGTTGATGAGAATTATATTAAATTAGGGTAGCAATTAATATGAGATTTAACTTTAAAAAAAAACAAACTATAACCTTCTCTGTTAGGAAGGAAAAGATCGAGAAGATAGTCTATTGGGGGTTTGGGGTTATAATTTGGTGCGGGTCTTAAATTATTTGGACGGGTTTTTATTTAATCGGATCAATTTTTTAATTATGGATAAAAATTAAATAAATGTTTGATAGACTGTTTAGATCATGACACGTGTCCTTCCGTTAGTCCAAAGGGTATATACACTCCAAAAATTAAACGATAAGGGCATCAGTGTCCTAAAAGTATAACGAAAGATATTTATATACTATCTACGATAATTCAAGAATATATTTGTCATTTTTCCCAAAAAAGAATGATAGCATGCCATATGCCCCGACGTCTAATTTTCGTAATTAAAAATAGTAATAAAATGTCATGAATACTATTTAAAGACGATCTTATTTTTGAGATAGTAAAAATATTCTTCCAACACAATCATGTACAGACGTGACTTTTAGTGTGAAAATAGGTCCCAAAATTCATATCCCAAACCACCAACTAAAAATCGCAATAATAAAAATGTATATAATTTTAAAAACATTAGTTTCAGCTTACTCTAAGAGTGTTGCCAAGACAGTGGTTATTACTCTGATTTTGTTGGAGGTAGAGAGGTTGAGAACTGTTCTTGTGTAAATTTCTCGATCAGTGGCGTATACAAGATTTTTAATAAGCAGTGTTACCTTTTAAAATGAAAAAAGCAGTTTACTACTATACCTTTTCTAAAACGTAAAAAAATATTATAATTTCTTCTCCATGAATTTTCTTTTTTCGAAATGTATTACTTCCAAGCCTTAGCTAAGCTACGTACAACTTTGGTTGGAAGTGTCACTTGAAGAATATATACTCTACTTAATCTCGATATTCCTGTAGATTTTCAAATGGGAAAAGACATTAGTGATTTAAATATGACTAGTACTCTAGTAAAACCTGTTCTTGGGGTTTATTATGACTTGTTTTAGATAATTGTCACTATTTATGATAGACTTAAATAGTTTTACGGTAAATTTATTTTGATTATCTCATTTTGGTACACCCAACTAGAGGAAAGTTGGGTGCCATCACACCTTAAAAGGTTTTGAATTTCAAGGGCACTACTTTTCTTTAATTTAAGGGAAAATATTCAAATATGTCATCGAACTTTCAGAAAATACTCATTTATGTCATCCGTTAAAAATCTAGTTCATCTATGTCATTGTCATTTAAGAAAAGGGCTCATCCATGTCATATTTTTTAACTCAAAACAGAGATAGGTCCTTGTGTGGCGGCAAGTGTCGACCACCAAAATTTGAATGGAGATAAAAGTTTAGAGCTAGGTTGAAATATCAAAAACAAACTTGGTTTTGCAGAGCCACAAGAAGTCGTGATTCATAGATAAACAAAAACTGCCTTGCAAAAGGACAACCAGAGTAACCCCACAAAACACACTATCATTAAGAAAAGGTTAAAACAATATCAATGCAAATGTCTCCAATGTTCACAAACTACTACTGTACTGCCAGTGCATTTGTTACATATTCTCTTCCTGTTAGCAAATACTTTCTAAAACAAACATCATTTAATTAACAACATTACTCAAATTTACATACAAAGGTCAATCAATCCTGGCAAAATGAGGCTGTTACCAATAATTGTTCAAGTGCTTTCTCAAGTTTCAGCTCTGTTTCCAGAGGTAAAAAGTACTTCCGCTCAGTCATATTTCCTGAATGAGCCAACTACACTCGTGCTCATTGTGATAACCAAAAGGCATTGCTCAACTACCAAAAGCACACAGCAAACTATCACCTTAGAAAGCCAAAAGAACAACCTTAAAGATCTTGTGATTAATTGAATCCTTGACTGCTTTCCCTCTCGACCAAAGTAATTAATCAGAAGCTATTTAATTGGGTGAGCATGGAAACGAGCTCATCACTGGAAGGTCGATCAGCAGGCATGTCTGATAAGCATACCACTGCTATTTTTACTGCCATTAACATCTCATCTTCCTCAACCTCTTCCCCTAGAATACTCTTATCCAATGCTTCTCGAGCATCGCCTGCTTCCTGCAAACGTTGAAGCCAACGTGCTAAACTTCCTCCAGTAGATGTATCCCCAAAGAAGGGATCTGTTGGGTACTTTCCAGTTAATAGAACACCCAATATAACCCCAAAGCTAAATACATCACTTTTATCGGTATACCTGCTGCGAAATAGCAACAACTATAGGTTCAATCACTTAACATATGTATGTATTGCGTCAAAGAACAGATATTAGATAGGTAACTAGTTTTTGCAAATTCAAAACTTAAACATCGTTGATCATATAAACTACAAGAGAACCGAAGAAACCCTACACTTGTGAAGTTCTATGTCAAATATTAGAGCAAATTGTGTTCATTACAAACACACCAGCCATAACGCAACGCAACAGTTTGCCTCAAATATCATTTAACATAGGCAGAGCAAACAAGAATTAAATAAGTTGATCAGAGGGCCAACATAAATGCATCAACAAGAGGCAATTAAACTTATCGAAAACCTAAATTCATACGTCGTGTTGGATTTGAAAAAATGATACCTGCAACTCTGGTAAGATTCTGGAGGACCATAGTTTGATGCAGCAGGGAGATTTAAAGTGGGAATGATTTTAGCCAAACCACAATCAGCCAACCTAGGCTCAAACTCAGCATCCAACATTACATTTGTGGGTTTCAAATTCCGATGCAAAACAGTGGGGTTACAAGAGAAATGAAGATACTGAAGAGCCTTAACAATCCCAACTGCAATTCGGAGCCTGACTTCCCAGGTAAGTTGCAATTGATTTTCCCTAACTTTGTTCATTACATCTTCAAGACTGCCAGTGTTTACATAATCGTAAACCAGAAAGAACGTATTCGATTCACGAACATAAGCCCTTAAACTCATCAAATTCCTATGCCTCAAACTAGCAATAAGTTCAAGTTCGTGTTGTATTCTTCTCTTAAATGACTTGGTATGTAACTGTGGAGAACCAGGTTCCATTCTCTTAACTGCAACAGTAAGCCCATTATCGAGAACAGTTCTGTAGTATTTTCCAGAACTACTTGACCCTATCAACTGGGTATCATTAGCAAGAGCTGATTGCAGAGTTTTGGATGGAATTTTAGGAGAGAATACAACAGGGCCTTTGAGAATTGGGGCTTTGTTAATGTAACGAACAAAACTCCGAACAAGCCAAGCAAAAACAAGTGCACAAATCAATCCTGTAAACATACCAAAAAGTATACTCAGAAAAATCCTTTGAAATCTGTTCTTAAACTGATCAGATGAGGAGGTATCATCCTTGAGTATCCTTCCATGGCATTGCACACAGATTAGTTGTAGCCACAAAAAACAAAGCTTGAGAACTGTGCTACTGTTACAGCAGGTCCCCATGGAAACTAGGGTTGTTTTTCTCTGTGGGTCGGCAAGTTTAGGGTTCACTCCTCTTAATGTTACACAAGGACGACAATGTGACCATTTTCTTCTTTTTTTCTCTTTCTGAAACGAATCTTGAAGAACAAAAATCTTTTGCTGAAAAAGCTAATTTTAAAATTATATAAATAATAAAATAAGATAAAAGTGAACAGTGAGGAATATATACAACTCCACAATGAACAAGAATAGAATCATTACAAAGTTCAAATTCCAAATATGTGACAACTTTGCCTCTCACAAAACAAGATTAGTGAATAAATCCACTTTTTTCCTCCACTAAAGAAATGAACCTATTAAAGATAGAACTACGTTTTTTTTGTACCTACAAAATAACAAGATGGAGTATTCTCCTTTTTTTTTAAAGACCAAATGGGTCAAAATTTATCATTAAACAAAATAGTTTTATATATATATGAATTCTTTTAGATTAATTATTATCCTTTTTGGGTTTTTTTTTTCTATTATAGTCCATAGCCTAACTTACCTTGAGTTAATATATGTGATGTTTATTCAATTTTGAATAGTTCACTTAAAAAGTTACTCAATTTTGAATTGTTCACTTAGAAAGTCACTCAATTTTTTTATAACTTAAAATTCACTCAGCTATTAGTGTTTCACTTAGAAAGTCACTCAATCAATTTAAATAATTTTTTCATTTATAAAAATACAAAAAATAATTAAACTAGTTTTAAAAAAATAATAAGATGATTATTTAAATTATTTTATTGAATTTCGTTGAAATGTAGTTTTTGTTTTCAACTTTTTTTTTTTATTGGTACTGTGCGTTTTTTTATTACTTCTTATCAATTCCAACATCCTATTTTTTTTTATAATTTTTTAACGTATTTAATTCCAATCAAACAACTACTAGAACGGAAAAGTTTTTTTTTTTTTTGGGTCAATTGCTATACGTTTTTTCAGAAAATTATAATTAAATAATTGGAGCAGAATAATAAGATAATTAAAATAGAAATCTTATTATTTTTTTAAAAAATAGTTTACAATAAAATTTAATGGAAAATTATTTAAATTGATTGAGTGACTTTCTAAGTAAAATATCAATACTTAGGTGACTTTCTAAGTAAAACATCAATAGTTGAGTGACTTTTGAGTTATAAAATAAAGTTGAGTGACTTTCTTAGTGCACAGTTCAAAGTTAAGTGACTTTCTAAGTAAACTATTCAAAGTTGAGTGATCACATGAGATATTAATTCAATTTACCTTTAATAGTTGAAATTACTCATTGCTCTCCTCATCTCTCTCCTTCTCCAACCAACCTCACTGGAGATGGCTTCTCCGGCGAACAAAACAACAATCACCCCAACTCCAATCTAAAGTTCTCACCTCCACACCACCACAAAATAGACTCAACAACAACAATGAACAACATAATAACCAAATTGGAAAATCATCAAATTCCAACAAAAAAACAAGGAGCTCCATGAAACCATGCGATGCCCAATCTCTATGCATTTTTTTTCTTTTACGTTATTGTTTTTTAATTTGTAATTATAAGAACCAAAGAAGATTGTAGTTTCTATGTTCATTGCTTAAGTAGAAGTGTAGCTCCGATGAGCTTCATGAAAATCGATGTTTAGATCCGATTGAAAAACTCTCTTCGGCATTAAAATTTGGTCATGGTGTTTGGACCAAAAATATGGGGAAAAGAGAGTTTGGTGACTGTGGGTGGACTGTGTGGTGATTTGTAATGGGATTGATTTGAGCTATTGATAATCCGGTGATCATGAATCATCGGAAAAGAAGAGCTACAACTTTGAAAAGTTGTATGAAATATAAATGATAGTTGTAATACAATTCAGGGTTGTTGTAAATTGGATGTCCACACTAATATGTTAAGTGTTGTAAGATTAATACACACACAAAATGCTATGTGGTGTATACTAATTAGCCATTTGATATACTTGGTGTTCAAAGTGTATACATGGCAAGAAGATATCCATGTATCACACTTTGGGCACAAGTGTATACAACTATATATACCCCTATTCTTGTAACAAAGAAAGAGGCAAGAGTAAGTGAAAGAAAATACTACACATATTATTTCTCTTCTTTCTTATTATCTTAGTTGTTATACTTTAGTTTATAACACGTTATCAGTACGAGTCTCTTTATCTATGAGCATCTCCGACAGTGCATTAGCCAAAACATAAATAGTATAGAGTATATTATATTTTGCTATATAAGTCTTCTTACACTTGATAGTCTAAATTTGACGTGTCAAATGTAATTATCGTTAATGTTATCATGGATTTTTGAGCTAAATATTAGAAGGATAATTAGTACATATTTAATTGATAACGTTGTTGAAAGAATAGAACTCACCAAAATCGTTAGAAGACTAAAAGTGCATAACATGAATTTTTAATTTGGTTGATACTTTGTTGTGGTTATCACCTAGTAATACATAATTGCTTTTAAAGGAGATATAGTTGATTTAAGGAATCCATATCAAAATAAAAAGGAAAAGGTATTAAAATTTCTTATGTTGACCTACATTAATTTTGATCAACATCATTGATTATTTTACACTTGTTTATCTGTCACTAGCTAATCATTTACTTCTTGAATTATAATAATATGTTATATGTACTAATATAATTTGTTTTATAGTTGCTTTAAAAAGGTAAGCAAACTAATATTTGAAGAAGTATTTTATTTTCCTTTGGAATTATCAAAAAGACTTTTCTATCATGAAAGATTCTTTGAAGTGGCATTGGCATGTCATTTAGGTTGGCAATTAACAAACTTGGCAATGGTAAACTAATTGTATATTTTTGCTTTATGGTAAACCTCCTTCATAATACTAATTATTTTAATTCTGATTTGTATATACATGCAAAAGAGTATGCTAATTTTTGAAATTTATAAAATCTGCTACATGTCATTAAGACAATTTGACATGTAGACTTTATTAGGTCCATTTATCAAGTGTGTATTTAATTCTTGGATTTTGAGGTATCATTTTATTTATTGTGATTATTAGTGTTTACCTCTAGTTGCTTTATCTGTGAATTACAATTGAAGAAAAAAAAATTCTTAACTAGCAACAAATGAAGTCAATGTTGAGAATTAATTTGTTGATCTTTCAATAAGTGAATTACTCATAAAACTTTTAAATTGAAAATAGTATTCAGAGCCACCTATGTTTCGTTTAGCAAAGGTAATAACTTGTATATGATCTTTTGAAGTGTTATTATGACTAAATTTATTTGTGCAATTAATAACAAAGTTACAATATTTTAAAGGCTCAATGATCAATTTTATTTTGGACTATATGATGTCATTGATTGAGGTAAGACGGTGGATTCAAATTTCACCGCACCAAAAGGGTAAGACATCGATTAAAGTATCGATGCACCATGATGATAAGATTTTGGGTTCAAGTCCCTTCGCATTTTGGCCTAACACACCTTTGTATGGATAAGACATTGGGTTAAAGTCCCAATGCAATAATATATAATGATGATTGAGCAAATCGATATGCTCTTGCTAAAAATTGGGAATTCCGTCCCACTGAATATGCTCCATTCATTTAAGTGAATGTGATAGCAATACAATAAAAGTCTGAAAGATGACAAAATTATTTTATGATCAGACATATGAATATGGACGTGAATGGACAAAATAATAATAGTCATCATTATTATAATTGTAAAAGAAAGAACAATATGAGTTCTCAAAATTGTCCTTCAAAGAGTGAAGGTAATTTTTATCATCAAATTTGGTATGAAAGGTATTGGACACGCGATTACTGTATGTGCAAACTAATTTGATTCTATAAATTCTCCATCAAAATAAAAGAATATAAAGTGAAGATGCACTTGACCTTTCAAAAGTGATGTCGAGGTATGTCATATGAATATGATAAATTTCTAAACTTGACAATAAACTTCTAATGAAAGGAATAATTATGAAGCATGTATTTATGATTATAGTCAATCCCTTGAAGAGAATGTGACCTGTGATAAGTATCATGAAAAGTGGACCATTCTTGGAAGTGAATGTGTCAAGAGATGATGAAAATTATAAAAAAAGACATACTCATGTATGGTTTAATAAATACCACAACTCACCTTTATGGGAGGCTAGAGAGAAATAAAGAAATTTTATGTTGGTATAAATGGTCATTGGTCAAGTACTTTTAGTACATCACAAATATTGTGGTATGTTTTAGTATGAACTACCGAAAGGGCAAAAGAAGGAAATCATTTCTTGCCACAAAAAATTGTCATTGATTATGTATCTCTGTAAATCAAAATATTTTTCCTGATAATAAACAAAAGGAAGGAGATACTAATGACAAAAGTAAATCAAGAAACAAGTTTTGCTTGTAATGATTTTGACCATGACAATAATGATATAAATTTCTCTTTGAAAGAGATGTCACCACACAAACAATGTTATGAAATATGTGGTAGTATTCAATGTTAATTGCGAGCTTTGGTGAGCTAACGTGCTAATATCCTAAGAAATAAAATTGCTCATGATATTGAAATTGTAGTAAGTCTCGAAAGAAACTTTTTAAGTTTCAAAGAAATAATCAAAGAAAAAAAATATTGAGACTATAAAATATGGAAAGATTTAAGATCTTCATATTACTACAATCAAAGTGGGTTATAAATATTTACGTGAAAGATTACACATATTTGCTTATTGTTTGTGGTAACTAAGTATGGACATGATGATGAAATCACATGCAAAATAAACTAGAAATTTATTGAAATAAATATCAGTTGGCATGGCCGGTTAATGACCATCCCAGTTTAAATATGATACGAAAATTACAGAGAATTCATGTGGTTATTTATATTGAAGAAATAATAAATTCTTCAAGAATTCTCTTGTGTTGTTTGTTCTCGTGATAAAACTATCATTGTACCAGCTAAGGTTGAGATTATATCTCCTAGAATTTTGAAATGTATAAAAAGGTGAATATGGGCCCGTTCACCTGCCATGTGGACCATTTACTATTATATGATTTTAATAGATGCATCTATGTTATGGTCACATGTGCTTTATTATCAACTTACAATTTGATTTTTGCAAAGGTTGTTTGCTCGAATTGATAAATTAAGAGCATA